GCTCCCACTACTATTTCATTCATTTTTCCCGCCTTGCCCAAGATCAAGCGGCACCTCCGTCGAATTTGTTATTAAACCTGCAGGGTATAAAGACATTTGTGCTTGATGAAATAAATAAATGAAAAAAAAAGAAAAAAAAAAAAAAGAAAAGAAAAGAAAATGAAATGAACAAATTAAAATAAAAGGTAAACAAAAAAGTGCCGAATAACGTTGAAAGGAATCAATCAGTTGCAGGAAAAAGATTTCACTGCGGAAAAAAAAATGAGATTAAAGTACAGAGAGAAAACAGCTGGAAAGAAATATAGAAGATAGAAGGCTGTGGGTACACACACGGACACACACACAGATATTGAGAAAGAAAGAAAGAAATAAATAAAGAAAGAGAGAAAGAGAGGGGGTGTAGACACTGACAGATAAGAGAAAGATGATGACTAAGAAGAAGAGACACACAGATAGATAGATAGATAGAGAGAGAGAGAGAGAGAGAGACGGAGAGATAGAGAGAGAGAGAGAGAGAGAGAGAGAGAGAAGAATGAGAAGTCAAAGTGCCGAGAAAAACAGGTAAAAAGATATACAAGATACATTGGGGTATATATATATATATATATATATATATATATATCAAATGTAAAAGAACGAAGTATAAAATTACAACGTTCAAAACATTAATTTAAAACTGGGCTCAATTCAAAAGTAGAGCAATAAATATTTACTATACACTGTTAAATACTACAAAATTACCATCATTGTTAATTACCTGAAGAGACGTTTTATTTAAAGGTCGAAACAAAATGTACAATTTTGTAGTATTTACTCACATGTTCTAATGTAACAGTATATATATATATATATATATATATATATATATATATATATATATATAGATTTAGAGATGCGAGAGAGTGAGATAGGTGTAGACACTGATACATATGAGAAAGATGTATATGATAACTCAGAAGGAAAGGATCATGCAGATAGAGAAAGAGAGAGAGAGAGAGAGAAAGAGAGAGGTTAAATTGCAGAGAGTAAAAAGACAGAAGATAGAATGAGTGATATATATATATATATATATATATATATATATATATAATATAAAGAGAGAGAAAGAGAAAGAGCGAGAGGCGAGGGCAATGAGAGAGATTGAAAATGTAAAGAATAATATGGATATCGATAGGTACGGACACAGATTTATATAGGGAAATTTTACAGATGACCAAGAGGGCAACTAGCGTGCGCGTTCACATAGATAGATACATACGAACAAATTGAGACAGACAGATAGATAGATATGAACAGATTGATATATATATATATATATATATATATATATATATATATAGAGAGAGAGAGAGAGAGATAGAACGTGAGAGAGGGAAAAAACAGGCGGCAGCTCTACAGAAAAGATAAATATTTAGAAAGAAGACACAACAATTACTTGAATTATACCCAGAAAATAAAAAAATATGGAATATTTATAATATGATATACATATTTTTTATATTAGAGAAATATTGGCTGATGAAAGTGTAACAGTAAAAAACGTATAATAATATCGTAAAGAAAATAGTAAAAATGATTGAAACAAAAGTAAACATAAAAATAACAATTCATCGATATTATAAATGGTGATAAGTGGTTATGTCTTTTGCTTCCCTCAAGGAAAGTGTAGACTTCAATTGGCAAATGTGAATACACCACGCAAAGTTCCTTTGAGCAAATAAATTTATATGTATTAGTAGAAACTATTTGAATATCTTTGCTCTGATGTTTCCTGGAGACGGTGTCTCAGAAAATTACTATTTTTCATTTTCCGATGGAATTTTCCAATGTCTTTCGTGATTAATAAAAATGGCTGACCTGATCAATAAGCAGGACTCTTTATATAGTGAGAAATAACAAAAAAGAAACAAATCTTTCAGATATAAATATTCATTTGTAGGAATTGCTTTGTTTCTTGTCGCAACTTCTATCATTTTCGGCTATTTGGTATCGTATTTAAAAAATTCGATCACATACAACAACTCCCTAGATTAATTGCAGAACATTTACGGAAGTATTTTTATACCGACAATTTGAATTGGACATAGGACATGTGTATACATACACTTAGGCTACCAGAATAATATATATGCGTTTCTGTTTTCGATTTTGTTTCTAAACTAAAACTGTCAGGAAATATTGACAACTTTTCATATATTCTATATCAAATATAAACTTGGCATTTTTTGCAATAACGCATCGTACACTCGATGTTTTTTTCCCTATCTTATCAATTGCTACAGTAGAGGAAATTTTAAAACTTGCCTTTAAGCATACATGATTGTGTCACTGCAGAAATATATTTGTACATAAACAGAAATGTTATCTGGTTAATATAAGAATGAATAAGCGAATCTCTCTCTCTCTCTCTCTCTCTCTATATATATATATATATATATATATATATATATATATATGTGTATGTGTATGTGTGTGTGTGTGTGTATTAACTGACTTCAAAGGAAAAAAAGAGTGTACCGAAAACAATGCCAGTAAGAGTTTAATGTGTAACAGAATAAAACAAGTTGTACTTTTAAAAGATTGTTCATAAAAAGGTGCTGAAAAGTTCTAGGCCCGACCCGAAAACTCTTTAAAAAATATTCTGACCTTTGGTCATTTGGCTAGATTTTGGGAAGTGGGTTGAATCGTAATTTTTTAGAATCCGCTTGAAATAGGTGAGAAAATTCCAACAACGAAGAAAACAGTTTCATTTAGGCTGAGGCATCTGTTCTTTTCTGTTTTTATTTACTTACCCACTCTCATGATTGTACGTTTAACACAAGGTCACACATAACTGGGATCTCTACACGTGTAAATGCGGATGATTCCAGCGCTTGTCCAGTTACCCCAGTACTTAACTTTACGGAACGTCTCAGATATCAGAGATTGATTCTAACCTTCACTTTTAACGGAGGAAAGTGCAGCTTGCTGGGACACCACTTGAAGCATGGCTTTAGTTAAGTTGCATTTCCGGTCCCATGAAGGGGCTGAGCAGCAATATGTCCGTTTTGCTGATGGTGTTTTAATCTTTGTTTCGGTCAATCAGTTGCGATACATGTTTGGACGATCATGTCTCTTTCAATTCTTGACTGACAAGGTTGGTATTTCATTCTACAGTAATATACTGGTTACCAACCAAGGCTATAGGACCCAGTCTCTTCTACTATTCAACCCATAGCTGGCGGAGAAGAGATGAATTCATGACTTTCTCAGGGGTATTTTCGCGTAACTAACTATTACGAATTAGACTGGAATTCGAACTCGACACTCCAATTTCTCATTTGGTGCTGTCGGATTGAGGAATCGGAGAGCCGAGTTCGAATTCCAGTCAAATCCATTACATTCACTTACCTGTTAATACCCTTGGTAACGGTATGAATCATTTTCTATGGGCAAATAGCAGGACAGACTGGGTTCTATAGCATTGGATGGAAAACTGGCCTACTGCAGAAAGAAATGGCAACCTACTGGGGGAAAAATCTGTCTCGTCAGTCATGTATCGAAAGATACATTATAGCCTAAGTATGTATCACGCATGGCATATAACTGACTGACTATCCATTACATCCAAAAATATGTACTTTGCATAATGAGGAATCATTACTTTACACAATAAGAAATTTCCCAAAAAGTTCTGTTTAGAGGAAGCTTAAGGATAACAAATTTCAATATGAACAATGTTGAAAACTCTTTACCTAAATATGAGCACTGCCTCCTTGCATATAGGTAAACCCAGTTATGGGCAGATAGCAAACTAATTAATCGCAATTAGAGTGAATTTGATCCTCAGTAGGTTCCTTATAATAATGACCTTGTGCTAGACTAAGCTAGAATTACTAAACAAAACATCTTCTGACATTAATGTTTAAGAATTCTTAATAAGCAAACACTAGATTAGAACACTCTAGAATAAAATAATTAAAGAAACCCTTTCGCTTCTTAAGAACAATGGTCAAAAAGGCTTTGAGCGAATGAAGCCTAATAGTCTTGTCAAAGATCTCCCTTCTTTTAACACTATGGACTCGCGCTATAGAATCACAAAGAACTGTACTAAATAACATGACTTGAAGACTACCAACAGCAGCAGCAACTAAAATGAATAGTGAATGAAGCTCAAAGAGAAAATAATGACATAATCAAGATGTTGACGTTTCACACCATTTCAAATAAAAGATTAAGAAGCAAACTCCCATCAATACTAGAAAGAGCGATAACAGGACTTGATAAATAAATTTATATGTTTCAACCGAAGAATGCCAAATTTTTCCTTATAGAGGAACTATTAATATTACCATGACCATTATCTTTGCCAATAAATACACGGATATAGTAGAGCTATTTTCTATGTCCATAGTCACTCTCCTTTCCTCTTTTTCCTATTTTCCTGACAAATTGTTTTAAGAGCAAGACTTTATAAATTTCAACTGAAAGAAGTACAGGTTGCTCGGTCAATGAATGCCAAATGTCTCATTGTAGGGAAACGGCTAATACCAACATTAGCCTTATTAATTGTCATTTATTTTAATTTTTTTTTTACTGTCTCTTCGATAGTCAATTGAACTTTTTTATTCCCCTGACAACGGATATTGTTGTTACAGTCATGGAAATAATATTACACTGAAACTCCTTGCTTCAGTTGACAACAAATTTCAGTTTTACAAAAAAAAAAAAAAAACAAAAAATAGGAGTTATGGAAATTGCATTCGAATTGTATCGGAGAAATAATTGCAAAATTTCTTGGGAAGTTAACTTTTAATTAATATTAAATCTCCGATAATTATGAATCTGCACATATTCTGAATTGTGATTTAGGGAAGTAGAAATTTGAGAGGTTCTGGCTTAAAACATCAAAAAAGGAGATTAAAAAAAAGAATCTCGTTCGACCTTAGAATTGGGATTAGTTAACGGGGTAAACAGCATCTTGAAGCTTGTCACTTAAAGGCAACTTTCTGACTTATGTCTTACGGCCATATCACGTTAAAAAACCGGTTCTCGTACGATCATCAAAGTTAAACAATGTCAAGCCTGGTCAGTACTTAGATGGGTGACCGCTTAGGAATAATAAATACTGTAAGTTTGAATGTGTGAGTTGTGTAATTGGAAATCAGAGAACTGAGTTATAATTCCAGTCGGATTCGTTATATTCGCTTACGGGCATATATCTCTTCCTCCCAGCTATGGGTAAATAGCAGGACAGACCGGGTTCTATAGCCTTGGATGGCAACTGGTCTACCACAGAAAGAAATGGCAACCTACTGCGTCAGTCATGTATCGAAAGATGCATGATCACCTAAGCGTGTATCACGCATGGCGCATAACTGTTCATTTGGATTTTGACCCTATTGATTCATTTATATTTTGTTCCCTATTGCCTCTTACGTTTCACGTTCATTTACGTTTTGTTTCCTATTTGTTCACTACATTTGGTCATCTACGTTTTGTTCCTTATTGTTCCCTATTGGTTCATCTACATTTTGTTCCCTATTCATTCCTATTTGTTACTCATATTTTGTTTCCTATTCTTCCTGATTTGTTTATCTACATTTTGTCTCTTATTGTTCTCTATTAGTTCATCTATATTTGTTCCTTATTTGTTCATGTAAATTTTAAGAATACCAGTCAGGCCACTATTGCGAAAGATTTTCTCTTTGCATCCAATTCGAGTTTTCCTTCTAAAGAAAAATGATTATAAGAATCCGCATCGTAACATCAGCGAAAGAAGATTGCCAAATTTTATGCTGGCTTACTTTCACGGACACGTTGGTGAGTTTGCGCCAATGCACAATACAGTTTTTAAATCGTTTTAATGGTTGTTGAAACAATAGCAATGAATCAGTTTAAATGAAAATAGTCGAATCAGTGTGCTTCCACATTATTCCCTTTTCTATAATGTTGAATGGTTTAGATAATCCGCTTGAAGAAAAGCAATTAACAGATTTTCTATTAAACGCCTTGGTCGCTTATCAACACAATTCCTCAATTAGAAATGACAGGCTATCAGTGTGAATCTTGCAGTTCAAGAGAAAAGAGAAAAATAAGATTCCGCTTAACGACCGTGTCAATTGGAGATGGCAAGGAATTGGCTGTTAATTTTGATGCAGCTAAATTATTGATAAGTTATAAGAGCCTTAACAATTGATTGCAATTAACCTTCTCTGGTAACGCTTATAAGGAAAGGAATTGAAATATTTCTCACCAACATGCCTTGTTGTGAGGCAAAGACACTTGACCACAATAGCTAGTTACTTAGTATCCATTCAGTAGGGATATCTTATCTTATTAATAATTTCCAATAACAAATGTTTTGTCTGAAACTAATTTATAGAATATGTTCTAATAATGTGTCTTCTATAATTTGAATCTGGATAATTTGTTAATTTTATAACATTTTAGTTTATATAGATTTTTTAAAGATTTCTTACTCCTAAGAGGATGCTTCCCCGATCACTACAATTTCAACCTGTTCAAGTCTAGGGACGACCGTTATCTTTCCCACATATCCTCAAAAACTGTGTCTCTTATTGTGTAACACTCTACCTCGAGTAGCTCTTGTGCCTTGAACATCATTTTAGAAAAAATGTCTTTCCAAATCATTCTGAGAATGCGGAGAAAGCGCTGTTGACGCTTAAGAAGAGATAGATCATGGTATTATTTGATACGAATGGAAGCTTTGTAGGCTTACTTTTGTGTCGTTCCCAAATTTGTACAGTCTAACAAATGGTTTCTTTGCTTTAGTGGTGATTAAAAGTTTTGATGTATTTTTTTAAACAAATATTACTTTAAGCAATATACTATAGTAAATTAATTTAAAATGTATATCTCTGTACGCTTTTGAGATTACTTGTTTTATTATTATTATTATTATGGTTGATGCTAATGAATAAATATTTTGATGTATTTGTTTAATAAATCCTATGTTTTATATCAAGTTTTAAATTAAAATAAGCATTCGTGTATTCCTATAGTAAATTCATTACACTGCATTCCTATATCTTCCTATAGTAAGATTATTTACAATGAATGTTTATAGTAAAATCATTTACGAGGCATTCTTATAGTAAATGACTGCTATATTCATTGTGTTAGTCGATATATAATCTTTAGAATGAATAAAAGTTTTTAGGTATTTATGAAATAAATCCTACCTTTTTAACAAGTGTAAGATAAACAGTATTAAAATCATTTGTATTCCTATAGAAAATAACTGCTACATTTGCTATGCCACTGTTTATGTAAGAGTAAATAAAAGTTTTAACGTATTTGTTTAATAAATCCTACATTTAATTATTATAAAATCATTTATTGTAATAAAATAAAATTTCAATGAATTTCTATATATACTTTTAGTAATAAATGTCATTCTATATCATTAGACTGAATTAATACTTTGTAATATTTAATAATAGTAATGCATACTATAGTAAATAATTTGCAATACATTGTTATAGTAAAATAATTTCTAAAGAGTCAAGATTTTATTCTATTTAAGAAATCCCAATTGTGAAGTAAATTAATGAAACATTAATTTTTCCTATCTGGGTTAAAGTAAATTATAATTTAATAAAAGTTTCTAGGTTCAGTTTTTGTGCAGTTTGAATGTCATTAAACAAAAACAACTTTTTAATGTGAATCATTTTGCATGCATCGTCAAACTCCATAGATGAGAGAATTAAAATTTCGAATGTTTTTTTTTCTTCTTTTTATATTTAAAAATATTCTGTGAAGAAACCTTTTCTTTCTGTTAATACAAACATTAATTTTTAGCTTTTCTTTGGAATTATTTTTGAGTTAATGTTTGCAATTCCGTCCATTTCTAAAAAGGCAGAGAAGATACTTTTTGCGATTCCTACGAATTATACAAAGTTACAAGCCCTACGAATAATGGAACCGGTAAGACTTTATTTGGATTTTTCTTTCTATGTTTGACACAGTAAACAAAATTGATACAAAGTGGGACATAAAAGAGAAACTTAAAATTTAGACCCACGAACCAGTTTCAAGCTTGAGAGCATCACATTGCTAATTTGGTTTTCCGTCTTAAGAAACCATTTTATCAATTTGCAATTTGGTCAGGCGACTTAAATTTCGCACCTCTTGCCAGACGCTCACATATCGCATTTCTTATTAATTGAAGTGTTCATATTTTGTAGCTGAGTCAAGGAAACACTGCATAACTCTATAAAAATCACAATAAAGAAATTATTTTGGATGTGACTCAGGTTCGTGTCCTATATAAAAGTCTGAGTAGACACGAAGCCGTTCTGACGAAACTCCTCCAACTGGCCAGGCGACTTACATTTTACGTTAATCACCAGACTGTCACGTGGCGCATTTTTTAGTGTTTGGTGTTAATTATATCTGAATCAAAAGCAAACAATCAAGTTTCATAACGTTACAGAGCTATATAAAGAATAAAGAAATTACTGTGGACGTTACCCAGTTTCGTATCCTATATGGAGAAGAACTGATTAGGTAAAACTGTTGCGAGGAAAAAGATCAAAATAAAGAAAAAACTTAAAATGTTTGTCATGTTGAAAATGCTTAATCTTAAAAAATCACCTTAAAGAGGATTTAAAATGTAAGGGTGGGTTTCCATGAAATTTTAAAGCATATATTTGATTTAATTTAGTTAGACCACAATTAACAGTCGTAGAACGACGGTTTGAATAGTTGCAATGATAAACAATTGAAATCAAGCTGAATCGCAGCGAGAAGGTGCCAAATATCTTGCATGTGTTCTTATGGAAATATAAAGGAGATGAATGAATGAAAGACAGCAGTAAAAAAAAAAAGAAGCAAAAGAAAGCAAAAGGAAAAAGAACAACATATATTTAAAGAACGTAAACAATTATTTTTAATTTAATTATATTTAAAATTAATGGTTTTCATTCTCCAGAGATTGACTTACATGAGTTGTCAAGAGGCGCGCTGTATCTTAAGAACTTTTATTGTTTACGATCGTGTTGAAGCTCTACATTTCATCAAACGGTAAGTATTTTTTTTTTATTTTACTTATGTCCTTAACATTTTACAAGTTGTTCTGGTGAACTTCCCTCTACAGTTCTTAGACTTTGTAAATTTAAGTGCATTACTAGAATGGCGGCTAGGTCTCATCATTTTACAGTTGAAATTACTAGATGTAACTGTAAGTTCTATGCTGACAATATATTTTCTCGCACTTTTCGCGTGTGGAATTCTCTTCCGACTTCTTGCTTTCCTGTCAATTTTGATCTTTAGAAATGTTCAAGTAATGTCAATTGTTATCTTCTGTTTACTTATTTCTTTTTCTTTCGTTGTTCTCTTTCCTTTAAGAGTATTCTTTTTCACTCAGTAACCCATTACGTCTTAGTGGCTTTATTGTTTTGCTCCGGGTGAAATGATTAAAAAGTTATAGTTTAGCCTAGTCCAGACTACCCACCCCAGCCGCCTATGGTTGGGAGTAGCCTACTTCCTAAAACGGAGTATAAAATAACCTACTTAAACTATACCCACCTCAGCCACGTTTAGTTTTTTATTTATTTATATCCTTCACATTGTATTAGCAAGTTCTGGGGAAATTTCCTCTACAGTACCTAGACTTTATGAATTTAAGCGTGGTACTAGATTGGTGGCTAGGTCTCATCATTTTACAGTTGAAATTACTAGATGTAACCGTAAGTTCTATGCTAACAGTTTCTTTACTCGCACTTCTCTCCAATTAAATTTGATTTTCAAATCAGTAGCTTCTATCTTCTAATTCCTGTTCTTTTATTTTTCTCTCTCCTTAATGATTTTTTCTCATATTCTCACAGACTCGGTAACCTCCCGTGCCTCAGTGGCTTTATTGCCTTGCTTGGGCTGAAATTATAAAAAAAATAAACTTCCAGTGTTGATTAAAAAAAAGCAAAAACAAACGAATGTACAGTGTCAGTACCATTTACCGAGCACAATTCAATACTATCTCCAGACGATTTGGAGGCAAGGTCTCTTCATTTTTACATTTGAAATAGCGAGATGTGACCGTAAGTTCTATGCCAATAGTTTCTTCTATGGCATTTCTTGCTTTCCAGCCAACTTTCATCTTCAAAGATT